TATATATANATATATATATATATATATACATATATATATATATATATATATATATATATATATATATATATATTTATATATTTGTCGTGCTTAAGCATCTCATATGTTATAATGTTACAGGGATATCAATTTTGGACTAAAGCCAATGACAAAGGGATTTTTACCATTACCCATGTTCGAACTGGAGACTATAATCTTTATGCATGGGTTCCTGGATTTATTGGGGACTACAAATTAGATATGACTATAACTATCTCTTCAGGTTGATAACTTGTTGCTTTTATCCAGGTAAACATGTAAAATCTTTATAGAACTTACTAGTTTATGTATATATGTTCAGGAAGTCAAATCAATTTGGGTGACCTTGTGTATAAGCCTCCAAGGGATGGTCCTACTTTATGGGAAATAGGAATTCCCGATCGCTCTGCTGCTGAGTTCTTTGTCCCAGATCCTAATCCTATCTATGTCAACAAACTCTATGTTAATCATCCTGACAGGTTATACAAATTAGATGTTCTTTTCATTATCCTCTTTCATCTTAAAAATGTTACCAACATTATGCAGTTGTTACTTTTTTGCTTGATTATAAGAGAAAATAAAAGAGAAAAACCTATTTCTATTTACTTTGTTTTCTATCCTTTCTATTATTTTATTGAATCTCTTAATTTCTATTTACAGATTTAGGCAATATGGTTTATGGGAGAGATATGCTGACTTGTATCCTGACAGTGATCTTATTTATTCAGTTGGTGCGAGTGACTATAGAAAAGATTGGTTTTTCGCTCATGTTACCAGGTTTCAATTCATCAAACTTATTTTGCTCATCTCAAATACTCTAAGACGAATTTTGTCATGAATTTTCCCTCTAAGATCCATCCATGAAATAGCTTAGTGTGTAATTGGCTTATGAAATATTTCTCGGACATGCAAATGCTTAAGAAATATTTTAGTTAACAAATTCATGGACCAACTTTTGCAATGTTGAGTGATGTTGGCTTGGATATACTAATTCTTGAAAAAATTCTTAGTATAATTACTCATGGTTTAGAACCCCTAAATAATTATAGTATATGTTCAGTGATTGTAGGATATTCTTAGCCATCATAATACTACATAGAGACTAAGCAATGATTAATCCACCTTTATCGGCAATAGTATATTGGTATTATTCCATTATTTGATATTTCTTTTATGTAATTCACAAAATGAATTGGAATTAAAAATATATGATATGCATATACACCTCACCTGATATTGTTAAGCTTAGAAAATCTAGGTCTTCATTATGAATATTTGAAATAGTTGTCTATTAGGTTGTTCGTAAAGAGGATTAAGTTCTAAAATCCTATTATCTTATGTTGTTTTTCGATTATTACTATCTTGCAGGAAGATTGGAGAGAACTCCTATCAAGCAACGACATGGCAAATAAAGTTCCAAGTTGATAGTGTCAATCAAACTGGAGCTTACAAGCTTAGAGTAGCACTTGCCTCTGCCACAATTTCTGAATTACAAGTAATTCATAAGCCTCTTTCTTTTTTGTTGATTATAAGTAATTGATATTTTTGTTGCTCTGACTATACCTATCATTTGGCCAGGTTCGTTTTAACGATGCAACGATAAATCCTCCTCACTTTACAACAGGGCTAATTGGTAGAGACAATTCGATTGCAAGACATGGAATTCATGGATTATATTGGTTGTTTAACATTGATGTGCAAAGTGCATGGCTTATTCAAGGTGATAATACAATCTATTTAACTCAGACCAAGAGTACAAGCCCTTTTCATGGAATCATGTATGATTATATCCGCATGGAAGGCCCTCCAGGACAATAATATAAACAAAGTGGATAAGTCATGCACTAGCTAACTTCTTACTGTCGCTTAAGAACATCTCTATGTGCAAAACGTGTGGCTCTGGGTGTCAATCTGTCATTACAGATTGACCTTTTTATTCTTCAATGCATTGTGTGTAATTTATAACTTAATTACATCCTTGAGATGAGATGAAGAATCTTTTGCCCACGTGATCAAAGGTGAAAGTG